CCGGTTCGTTTGAGTTCCTGCCAGTGGAGCGTTGAGAACCTAACATGACGAAGCAGCTGCTGGAGCTAGTGATCACAAGTTGTGATCACTAGCTCCTGTTGTGGGGATCCTGTTGTGATTCACAATATGATTCCCGTCTTCCGAGGTATTTGTTGACTCACCATAAAGACACCCGTAGGTTGAGTTCTTTAATAGCCGCGACAAGTTCCTTCAGCAGTGGGTATTCACTGAAATCCGATGGGAGATGGCCCACAATGAAACCGTCAACAGGATAATCCTTCACGAACTCTCTGGCACTCTCCATGAAGGAAGCCTTGTCGAAAGTTTTGTTGAGATATATACCCAACTCGGCCATTATCACTCCGCCGGCCGCATCCACTCGTTTCCTCAAAGCTTTAAAACTAGTTTTGTTCCAAGGGTCGTAGAAGGGAGGGTCCAACTTGATTTCGCTCTTTGCGTTGAGTAAATATCCACCCAACTGTAAGCTAGTCGCACCAGAGCTAACGAGGTAGTCGAAATAGTCATCCCAAGTGTACTTGTAATATGGCATCGATTCGTTGAAGCTGCGGGGCCTTTCTTTGATATTCCAAGGATATAGCACTTCCTTGTAGAACTGCAACGGATGGCCCGTACAGTGGTCTACATCAGCAGTTGCACTGAGAACGTACAGACACAGGAGCCTTGCAGAAGCCCACATTGAGGACAGGGTTGATAGAGCGACTACACGAGAAGCTGCCAAGAATCCCGGAAGCAGTTTGCAGCGTGGAGTGAAATTGATGCTCAACCAGTCTGTGCGGCAGAGAGCGTCACCTTGTTCATGCGTAGAGACATTCTCCTTGTGTTTGCGTACAAGAATGTGAGGACAGGATACATTCCGTACTATTGATCATGAGCATTGAGCGTTACTAACTCTTAAGTCCGTAGCCATCTTGGCTCAAGGTCTTAGTGTACGTTTGGGTCGCATCTCTCCAGCTAATGTCGGGTCGTGTTGACACAAGGGAACGACAGGAGACACCGGTTGCTATATGCTGTAA